ACCTCCCTCACCCAATATGAATTTTTTTTTCGGTTTTGCTCGAAACAGCCTGAATTTTTTTTGGGGGGTTCCCCTACTGGTGCGCAGACCCCCCCCCCACCGTTTTTTTTTTTCCGTTTTTTTTTTTGCCAAAAATGCAGTTGTCCGATTTTTCGGACAACTCCCCCCTGACCGTCTCCCGGAGACGTCCGGGGGAGACATCTCCCAATCGGACAGCTGGCAGCCTAGCCTTATAATCAAAAGCAAGCGTGAGACTGAATCATTCAACTTAGAAACACATGTTCAACCTGCCTGAATTTTACCTTTAATTATATTCTTAATTGGACACTCTCTTCCTTCGGTGACAAGCTATAGTCAGACCATTCAACTTAGAAATCATGTCTGACTATCTTGTTCATATAAAATATATAACGTACAATATAGGAAATAATATTCTCGAATTCCTCTGTGTGTGTGTGCGGCCTCCCAAACTAAGTCATTCAACTTAGAAACAATACTTAGTCTAAGTCTGAATTCCCTCTAAAAGAAACTTAGAAAAATTTCAGTCATTAATTTCTAGACAAGTGGTCAACCCCTTCCTTCAAAACCAAAGAAAAACAGGGACCCCTGGGTCATTCAACTTAGAAACAAATGCCCAGAGTTTGTTCATAAACCTCAAAAAAAAAAAATAGGCAGACCAAATCATTCAACTTATAAACAAATGTTTGTCCTAGAAAAACAACCCAGTTAGGTCTCTAAAAAAACAAAGCTACAACGGCTGGAAATCTGACTCATCATAAATTAATCCAAAGAAAAACAGCAGTCGGGCCATTCAACTTAGAAACAATGTCTGACCCTTTTTGTATGACCCATAGCCTCAATCAAAACTACCTTCCTCCCACCTTCCTTAGTTCATCGCTTTCAGAATCTGACTTCAGACAAACAAAAAGAAAAAAAAATTGAAGTTCGCGCGTACATTCCTTCAATTTAATCTGACTTAATCCAGAAAAGTCAAACATAAAACGTGGGATACATTCAGTATATTCAAGCATTCATAGCGAGGTGTACTCTTTGTCATGGGTTTATAGAAGAAGTCGAAGGGTTACCACTCAATTCCCTGCCTCCAGAAGTTCTCCAGAGTTTTGGTAGAGCTCCAACAATCAGTGGACAAACTCCCCACAGAGTCTTGATGCGGTCCTACGGGTTGGAATCCCGCCTGCCGCCTTATTCTTGTAACCACAAACTAGACTTAGCGTAAGAAGGGCAAAAGGAGGGGTTTCAAACTCTCGAGATACAGGAGAGGGACAAACTCAACTTGCAGGAGAGGGCCTTGGAATCTTCATGCATCTGAGGGCCCCGTAATGGTGGCCGAAACGTGCAGCAGTTGACCAACCAAAGTTAAACAGTCGAACGTATCATTTGACTACTTTTCAGTTCGTTACAGTAAACTCCCTCTCAAGAGCTTGATCACCTCCTCAGGATCACAGTGCTTAAAACTCTGATCAAACCGCTGCTACACAACCTAGAAAGTTGTGTTCGGTCAGAGCACACCCCGTGAACGTGAACTCAGCAGAACGTGACGCATACAACAACCGTACGCAGCAACAAAGTAAAAGACAAAGCGAAATGCAGTAGCAAATCAGCTATGCACAATCAAATACGAAAACACAGCAGCCGCACTTGAACACTCAGCAACGACACCTCCACAACTATTCTCCCTCGAGTGGTTGAATCAAGAATCAGCTTTAGCAGTTGGTCACAACTTGTATCTGTATTGAAATTCAGAGTCAAAATGATAAAAAAATCATGCTCTAGGAGCTTGTCCCTGGACTGGAAATCGGCCTTAAATGAACTTTCACCCTTTGGGTCCATACTACGAGTCTTCCGTTCTCGCAGAGCTCACCTTGGAACACCTGCGCTACCCCCTAACAAATGTGTCACCCCAGTCAAACTCCCCACTTGAATGTATCCTTTGCCCTCGTATCTGAGTCTGACAAACTTCGTTGTCTGGCATAGTCCACTCCCTCTACTAGTACTTCATTCCCATGATGAAGGTACTCTAATGAGGTGCACCTAGTCGAACTTCCAATCGGTTTCGGGCAGAGCACTCTCAACAGAAGGGCACTGCAGTCAGGAATCACAGAATAAAAGCCCATCTGCAAAGAAAATAACTATCATGGCGATCAAAATCATGCTTGGAATGTCCGATCGTACTCGATCTCGATGGCGAGCCTAGTAAGTAGCAGTACGACTGTCAGGCAAGGGGGAAACCGATTGAGGTTGGAGTGAACATCACGAGGATCTCCAAATGCAGTGTAACTACTCGCAGCACGGATACGGGCGTCTACCATTGCAACGATTGAAAACGACCATGACCAGCAACACGATGATCACTAGGAATACTGAGAAGTACAGGATGAAGTCCAATACATTGACAAGAAATCCTAACGTGAGTATGAACTAAGGAACTGTTTCAGGCAAATGTGGCTGCGTACGCGAGGGAAAGAGAAAATTTTCCATCCATAGAACTGACAAGATCTTAATGAATTACGCTAGAAGGTGGCCGGGTACGTCATCCAAATAGAGGTACGTTCCTCCTCGTTGCATCACCCTCTCTTGTTCTCTCTCTCTCTCTCTCTCTCTCTCTCTCTCTCTCTCTCTCTCTCTCTCTCTCTCTCTCTCT